AAGGCATAGCCAGAAGCCCAACGTGGGGGAGCCAGTGCAAGCTAGCACAAGACTGTCAGACACTATCAACATGTGAGTGGGAGCGGCCCTGTGGAATGAGGCTGGAGGAGTTTTTGGAGGACTTCTTCCAGACTGCCGTTGACCTTGCAAGAAGAAACATTGCATCAGCAGATTTCTCAGATTGTGATTAATCCAACGCTTTTGCTCTACACGCGAGGACGTCAGCCAGTTGAAGCCTCAGCCATTTTTGCGGACAACTCATTCATGAGTAAAATTTGGTAAATGTTTGACGTGCATAGGCTGCAGAGCACTGGCAGAATATGTTCCAATCGATGATTTGCAATCCTCAAACCAGCCAGAGGGCTGATCCAGATCTATGTTTGCTGTTTGCGGTTCCTTTCTCATACCTTCAACACTGCGGAGCCTCTATCCGTATTTTTCCACAACAAAGGTCTTCCAGCAGTCAGCCTTCTTTGGGTTCTCATAGGTGCCGTGTTGTCGAATCTTGAAGAGGTCAAGGAGAAAAAAGGATAAATGAGACCGGTTCGAGTGAAGCCAGAGCCAGGTCACCGCATCCCGAACTTCAAAATGGAGGAAGATGGAACGAAGTTTTAGCACAAAAGTTCATGCATGCTGCAAATACCAATTATGGGCCATGAAGTGCTACATTGAGACGCCCCTTTGAGAGAACTCATGCAAGACAGGGACGGGGTCAGTGGCGGTGTACTAGATCCAGTACTCCAGCAAATTTTGCAGCATTGTTGGAAGTAACGCGAACAGATCCCTGTTTTGGTCACCGTTGTGAGAATATATATAGTCTACTATAGTCAAATTAGCTGGATATGGGACAGCGTAGTGTTGTGTTGGGCTGAATGAAGCTTGGCATTGGACATTCTGCAAAACACTATAGTTAGGAAAACAATAGGCAACTGGCAACTGTATAAAAATAGAACAAAAAGCTCAAAAAGTAGAAAGACACATAGGACCTGCTTTTGGTTTCATTATTGGTCCTATTGTTTTCCTGTTTATTTTCGAGATTGTTGCTGAATTTTCAATTTGCAGTGTGAACGGCCAATTGTGCAAATTTATATAGATAAACTACTACAGTGAACAAGTACAAAAACATTAAAACACAAACAAAAACTATAGGAAATTCGGAAAAACACACGTTTACACACGTCCTTTTTTGGCTTTTGTTTCCAGTTTGTTTCCTAATTTTGATGCTATTTATGTGCTATTGGTGTACTAATTGTTGTTGTTTTTAATCCCACCCAGCGGAAGCTTAACTCCCTCAACGTCAAGCTAGTGCGCCCCCATTCAAGCGAAGACCGGCTTCAGTTTTCCGTGGATGCAAACAAGCACGGGTGTTTGCTGGATCGCTACTGTTGCGCAACGGGCCAGGACCCCCGTCAGCACGAAACACTCAAGATATTGGCGGCGTGGACACTTCGCTGCCACCGATACTTGGATTGTCAAGTGTTTTTTTTCAATATATTTGTTGTTCGACACAAACGATTTCAGCTAGTGACTTAGTGTGACTTGTGACATGCTGGCGTTTGGGAAGAGTTTTCTTGGTCAGGATCAGTTGTTTGTTTCTACAATGCTGGGATTCTGAATGAGGGTGCGTCACGTAGATCATATCATATCATATCATGCCATATCATATCATCAAGTCAAGTGACGTGTTGATGAAAGAGACATGCTAGACTAGAATGTCGTGGCGAACCAGGGTTCAGCTTTGCCAGGGCTGCATGTGCTTGCAACATCTTGCAACCTTGCTTGCCTCAGGTTGAGAAATGGACGCCAGAAATGCAAAAAGAAACATACTGTATAACAACATACCGTACAAATGAATGTAGTGGCAGCACCAATTGCACTTAGAGCAAGTCGGCTTGCATCATTACTAGATTAAGCAACTCCAGGCAAAGAAGTGGAGGAGAGTCGCCCCAAGTGGTCTTAATCCAGTGCTATGTCCCACCCGCGTGGCATCGCACGCCTGCTGGCACTTTGCGGTTTCTGCGGTTTCTGTGCGCATGTTGCCCCCGCCAACGTTGCTCCATGGCTTCGAGCGCCCCGGAGTTTAGACGAGGCACGTGGCTTTCAGCGCACTGCCAAAATGAGTCGACCAGAGCCTGTGGGGCCTCGATTCGGGCCTGTGGCTCCACGAAATGAGACAGCGCAGAGCATCAAGAGCAAGGAATTGGACTTGGAATTGGAATACTCACCAATGCGCCAGTCTTTCAACGAGCGACTCCGAAGCATTGCTCCCTACCCGGATGTTATTCGACAAGTGGAAGACAACTTTCATGGAAAAGGCGGGCTGCAACGGTCCTATCACGCTGCCAAAATTCCCAAGAAAGCCGTCACGCCAACGGCGCTGGACCAGAAGGCCAACCAACTAGCATCTTCGAGAACCACGCTCTTTGCAAAGGTACCTTTGTTACATTCCGACAAGTGGCCCAAGCCAGATCCTTCCTACCCTGAGGTCGCTGTCATTGGGCGCTCCAATGTTGGGAAATCATCCTTGCTCAACAGGATTTCGTCCTTCGGTACAGTTGCCAAAGTGTCATCTATGCCAGGGCAGACCAAGCAAGCGGCCTGGTACCGAAATCGAAAAGTGCGGATCGACTTCATTGACATGCCAGGTTATGGCCACTCAGATCGTGCTAGGGTCTTTGGCCCGGAAGCTTTGGAGTTCGTTCGAAACCGCACTTCGCTCAAGGGGTTGTATGTGTTGATTGATGCCAGGCACGGTTTCAAGTGGTCAGACCATGAGTGGTTGTCCGAGTTGGGATCTTCGGGTCCTATGAAGCAGGTCATTCTCACCAAGTGTGACATGGTCCCAAAGAAAAGATTGATACAAATCGCATCGTTGGCACGTTCCGACCTAGAGGGCTACAAAAGGGTGGAGAGAAAGATTCTGCTTTGCTCTTCGGCCTGGCAGAGTGGCTTTCATGACCTTCGGAAAGATGTTTGTCAACGCTGTGGCCTCCTTGCAAGAGACCAAGAGAAAGAGGTCGTTGGGGCACGAAAGGATTTACCAATGAGGGCTGTGAGAGGCCAAGATTTAGGTATTTTGAGCTGAGCAGCGCGAAGGCAGATGAAAAGGGATGCGGTCATGGCCACGGGAGGGGATGGGACATTCAACATATTCAATGTGAGCCCGTAGCCTCCCGCCTCAGCTCCCAGTCTCGCGAATGGTGTTTATGGTTTCTTGTTCTGAATCACCTACAGTAAATTCAAGCGATCTAATACTATTCATGAATCCGACGGAGCTGTGTTGGTCGAAGTGCGTTGATTGAGTGCATCGTTAGTTTCGGCATTTGTGAGCATCTATGGTGAACTGTTGAGCAAGTTGAGCCTCGTACTTATTTTCAGCTTGTAACAGTGTATATTATGAACCTGAGGCCGCTTGAGTCAGCTGGGCCATTGCAGAGGTTACTTGGATTTTTGAAGCGATTAGAAGTTCTGTTCTCGGAGTAGCTTCGCCCACTCCTCATGCATTCATGCATACTGCTTCCATTTGCCACCAGAAAGAAGACAAATGCATACCAATGCTTTGATATATTATATCCTATATATATAATTGTTTTGTTTTAGCGCACTGTGTCACAATGTAGAACATGTAGGACTTGGACAAAGTGGCCATTTTCCATGTCAACGTGAATGACAGAAGGGTATATTGGGGCTTTCGAAGTGTAAGATACCAATGAGGACATATGAGGACCTGAAGAAAGGGACTGCTGTGCATGTGCAATCGAATCGTAGTTGTGATGTTCTATTTAGGCTCAACAGTGGTGTAAAATGAAACTGCATTTGTCATGTTCACTCCCCAGACTTTCCATCAATTGCCTACCATTTCCTCTCTGGCTTCTTCAGGTCCGATGCGGGGCTTGAAGGAGAGCGGGAACATCTCTGTGCACCGCGGCTTTTGTCCAACCGCGCAGTTTGGTCTTAGTTTGGGAACTTTGGGTTGGAGACAGAACCGCACATTCCAAAGCAAAGCAAACACTGGTGTATTCTGGAGTTTGCAAGGCGTTTGTTTGACTTTCATTTGTGCATCCAGTGAGCCATTTTGACAGACTTGACTCAATATTGTACAAGCTATATAAGAGCGGATAGAGCCTAGAGCCGACTAAGGGACTGCAAACTGCCTCACCGCTTGACTTGTTTGACCTGGAAATTACAGAAGTTCATAAATGAAGCTAGTTCGTCCACCACAAGCAGCACCCCCCATCCAGCAAACTGCAACCCCACGAAGCTTGGGAATTTCGTTGTGTCAGTGTAGTGTTGTGTTCATATCCAGCTTTTGCAGCTTCAGTACAGCTTCCAGCATCAGTGTGCTTGTTGTGGCATATGGAACTGGTCAACACTAGCAATGTTATTTGCTATCCTTTGCCGGCGACTTAGCGAACAGATTAGAATAGCATGTCGTTGCTGGCAAGCAATGTCACCAGCTCCCGCCAGTACTTAACGAGCAGACACAATCCAGCCAACGCATATCCATTTACATCCATTTACATTCTCGTGTGGTGGTGGGTTTGCTAAATGTAAGAAGAACCACCCAACCCATCCTTTTTCGCAGTGGTAGGCAATTGATAGTTCAATTGCCCGGCAGGAATCCAAGTGTCAACGCGCAATGCCACCGCAAAGAAGAATCAAGGACATCGATGGCTATCGCTGTGGTTTCGAAACATTGACAATTATGTAATCTAGTCAAAGACCCCAAGCTTTGATTTGCATGCTGTGAGAGCCAGATGTGCGCCCGCTGCATTTGGCTTTCCAGAGGTCAACATGGGAGCAGCCAGTGTGGCCGTTTAACTCAACATAAACTCCACAATGAACAACTGCAGCCTGTTGAATCAAAAGAATAGTTCAGCTACAGTGGGGGCAACTGCAGCCCTAGGGCGCACTATGGTGCACTGAACATCGCTATCACCAGTCCGTCGCGCACTTGGGAGAATGGAATGGATGCAAGTCTACTTAATTCTCCTTAAGACAGGACAGTTTTTTGTCCAAGAATGTCCAAACTCGCAGTGCCTTTACCGCAATGACTGCATGATAAGAAGCTGATGACGATGTTTGCATCGCATGACGCTTGGATTCACAAGGTGCAAACACTCAGAAGTTCCTAGGAATTTGGTCCCAGTCGGATTAAACACATCATATATATATATAATTCTTGTCTCAGGTTGCGTTGAATCTTGTAAAGACCGAAGCCACTGTTTGAGAGTTTCGCAGAACTGGGAAGGTAGGATGGGCATGCTCACATTAAGCTTAAAAGGTGTATGATTCAGCCCCCTATTATTGTTGATGTTTAAAGAGGTCATTTCATTCGCATGGTGACCATGGTGTGTCCTTTTATTGTCTATGTTGGTCCAAGGAATGGCTGGCAAACGGACTGGCAGCAAACAGTCAGGGCAACTATCGAAGATTCACGTCCTTTGAGTTGGAGGGCTCGCAGGCGGCTAAGCCATGCCCAAACTGCACAAGAATGAGAACATATGAGATCGCTTGAACTCAATTGTGCCTATTGTGCACATGTAGGTAGATAGATATATACATATTTGTGTGTGCGCTGCTAATTCAATGAGTGAGTAGGTTAGATAGGTCAGTGGCTCTTGTACATGGGTATTTGCTGCTTTGGGGTTTGATGCCAACCGATGACGCAATCACTAGGGCAACACATGCAAATGGCTTTTGCAAGTGATAGGTTGTGAGGGCGCCAAGCAGTGGCTCAAGCAATAACTAGGAGTGGCTCAAGCAGATTTCGGCCACATCATGGCATCCTTTGAGTGGCCCAATCCGCCACAGCCAAAGCCGAGCTCCAGGGTGGTTGAGAAGCAAAAGGGGACGAGGCCTTGTTGGTCCCTACGAGGCCATCCGCTGGTGGAATCGCCAATTGTTCCAGATCATGGAGGAGTTCGAGCCGGTATCCAAGCCAATGAGTTCCTGGAAGATCAAGGTCCTTTTCGATTTGTTGGATCAGTACTACACTACATCCCCTGAATCCACAACAACAATCACAGTGAAGAAGGGATTTACAACCTGCGCATCCTTGAGAAGTGCAAGAGCATGGGAGTGGCGGATCCCTTTCCCACAATGAAATCTGGCCAAAATCGAAACTCGCCAATTGGACGGGCTCACATCGCAGCCTCCATCGCGCCTCCATCGCAGCAAGTAATGCTGGCGCGCATGGACCGAGTTCAAAAGCTCAGTCGGAGACGGTGGCTTTTATGGAAGAACACCTCGCTGAAGAGGAGCGGGCCTACCCGAAGATCTTGGACTCCTGCAGCCTCTCGCAGGGAGAAGAAGGAGCTCTAGTCAACAAGATCTTGCCGAGCTTGGGATTGGACGGCGACAAGCGGTTTTTGGCTCCAATCATGAATTGCATGGCAGAGAGGGAGGGCAAGGAAGGGATGCTCCAGTGGTATGAGTCGCACGTCATTCCTCAACAACTGCTGGGTGAATTATTTTCAGGAGAAGCAGTTGAAAGTACTTGAAGCCTTGAAGCAAGATGAGCACTTTGCACCGCAAGACCAAACTTTCAACCTATGCAGCGTGATGTGAGGCAGCGCCCTTTGCCATGTTTTAAATACAGTATCATGAGTTACCGTCCTTTTTGTCCTTTTCATCTCTGCTTGATCTTGGCGAATTGGCCAAGAGGATTCAAGAGGATTGAGATTTGTGGTTTGCAGAAAAAAGTGGAAGCAGACGCGCACTCTCCAGTCTCATCCGTTAGCAGAGTGGCAGAACACGGTCTAACGACAACGAGTTACCGCCAAAACCTGCGATGACCAATTCAGTAAACGGCGTCGTGAATTTCAGGAATTTGGCTGATGACATGCAAAAGCCATAGGTCCCCCTCAACAGCGATGACCTGGTTGAATCACGTCCTTTTCCTTAACAAGATGTTTTAGCAGACGCTCCACAGAGAGAGAGGGAGAGAGAGAGAGAGAGAAGCACTGATGTTGCTGCGGAAGAGTCCAGATTTGAGCTGACATTTGGCCGGCATTTTCTTGTCGAAACTCCAACGCATCAACAAGCTGCTTTTGCAAAGACTTCAGACTTCGGAGCAACCCTTGGATAGGATGAAGTATGTATATATTGTAAGGGCTCCGCCCCCTGCCGCCGACCCCGGGGATCTATATTTCAGCCGTGAAGCTGGAAAACAGGACAGAAGTCCGCCTATACGCAACGCAATAGATCAATTCAATTGTTCTTTTATATATAAAAGGAGATTCCCCCCATTGAGGTGTGAGTTAAAAACATTTGGGTCTTAACATGTCATGTACAGGTGGTTGATGGTGATTGTATTGTCAGTGTTGCAAGCTGTGCCAAGCTCTTTTCAGCGCGTTCGCTCAAAGTCCATCATCCTAAGCTGGACTCGGCCACACCATCACACAGGAATCATTGTATTGGACATTCAGCAGTGTTTGAAAAATTTCAGTGTGGAGCTTGTTGGTAAAAGGGCGCAAGCCGCCTAACCAGCTTCAAAATCAAGGACAAACATCCTTGTCCATCCAACGAATCCCTTAGATCAGCCTCACCACTGCTCCCTGAGCAAGATCTAGATCAGACTTCAAAAAATAGAGCGGCTTGCCTTCGATAAAGACACGGAGCCACGGTACACGACACTTTTCTCTCACCTCCCACGGGTCCTCTGGCTGGTACACAAGAAGCCGTTCTCTCACCTCCCACGGGTCCTCTGGCCACGGGTCCTCTGGCTGGTGCACAAGAAGCCGTTCTCTCACCTCCCACGGGTCCTCTGGCTGGTAGACACCTGTTCCGAGTGATTTCCTCCGCCGCAGCTTTCCACAATCTAATTCGAGACCAAAAATCGCCCGAAAGAGGTCCTCCGCGTACGCCCCCAGAACGTCTAACGTTGCTTTCGGAACCCGTACAACAAGTCTGTGAAGCAGCGTCGCGCACGCCCTTCCTTCCGCTTTCGACCCGTCAACGTTGCTTTCGGAACCCGTAATATAAGTCTGTGAAGCTCGGAAGCCTCGAAAAAGCTGTTCTCTCACCTCCCACGGGTCACAAGAAGCCGTTCTCTCACCTCCCACGGGTCCTCTGGCCACGGGTCCTCAGACTGGTGCACACGAAGCCGTTCTCTCACCTCCCACGGGTCTATAGACACCTGTTCCGAGTGATTTTCTCCGCCACAGCTTTCCACAATCTAATTCGAGACCAAAAATCGCCCGAAAGAGGTCCTCCGCGTACGCCCCCAGAATGTCTAACGTTGCTTTCGGAACCCGTAAAAAAAGTCTGTGAAGCAGCGTCGAGCACGCCCTGTCTTCGCTTCAAGCCGCCGGCTGTCACGGAAACGCCTCGGAAGCATCTTCCGCTTTCGACCCTTCAGCCACGCTTCAAGCCGCCGGCTGTCACGGAAACGCCTCGGAAGCATCGAAAAAGCCGTTCTCTCACCTCTCACGGGTCCTCTGGCTGGTACACAAGAAGCCGTTCTCTCACCTCCCACGGGTCCTCTGGCCACGGGTCCTCTGGCTGGTGCACAAGAAGCCGTTCTCTCACCTCCCACGGGTCCTCTGGCTGGTAGACACCTGTTCCGAGTGATTTCCTCCGCCACAGCTTTCCACAATCTAATTCGAGACCAAAAATCGCCCGAAGGTGCGCTTCCCGGTACGCCCCCAGAATCTCTAACGTCGCTTTCGGACCCCGTAAAGCAAGTCTGTGAAGCAGCGTCGCGCACGCCCTGTCTTCCGCTGTCGGACCTTCAGCAACGCTTCAAGCTGTCAGACCTTCCGCAACGCTTCCAGCATGCCCTCGGTTGCCTCCTCTGGCGCGCGCCCCCTTCAACCGGCGGGGTCGGCGGATATATATAACTAAATATAAGCGTCTAGTCTGACATACTATTGATACACTCTCTTGATGGAACGCGCTGGAAAGGTGGAGCAGTTGGAAAACCAGCTGCGGGCCAAAGATGGCGTTGCCAAGAAGCCCGGCAGCGGAGGAGAAGGTGAGGTACGTGTTGGTGGCAGGGTCATGATCAGAACGAATTTTATAACTTGTTGACAACACAAATGCATACAAGTACATAATAAGACAGATCAACATGCGATGGATTTCTTGCGGGCAAAGCACTTGGGAACCTTTTCGCGAATGGCGGCTCGGCGAACCTAGGTCTTTGAAATGCTACCGCGCATGTTTGGTTCAAGGATGTTCAAGGTAATTTTGGGCCCTTCCTACTCCTACTGTGTGTTTCACATCGCAGACAGGATTTGGTGAGAGCAGAATCGCGGAGATGGTCAGATCCTGCTGAGACCAGCGGACAGGTTTCTATCCCTGCCAGGAATGACTCATGGCATTTTGAAGCGTCGTGCAGGAATGACACAGGCGTGTGGTGAAGTGGAATTCGGGTTACCCAAGAAGCATAGAGATTCCAGAGATGCTTACCAGAAGTGGAAGGCCAAACATACATTGATTCACTTCGACTCCAGGACAACCAGAGAATTGGGCTGGCTCGAGAGAATGTCACAATCAGTCCTTGCAGAACGGTTCTTATCACAGAGACTGCACTTAGCGGTTGGCGCCAGCAGACCCAGATGACGAAGGGGTGGAAGCGAAGATAGAGACGTGGTGGGCGCTGTGAGATAAACAGGGTTCATCACAAGATGGACCAGGATAAGCTGGCGGAAGCAATTGACTGAGGCCAAAGAAAGTGAAGCAAAGCCTTGCACAGTTTGTGACACCCGAAAGTCACACTGCTCCTGTGACCATGCCGCTACTTGAGCTAGTGTCCGTGTTGCTGAACGAGCACCGACGACATGTTCACTGTCGTCGACAGAAGGATTCTTATCTCATGATAGTGCAGACTTGCGCGGACAACAATGGAGGTGTACTCTCCCGCTCACTAATATGGACGTGGAAAGCCCCGGATCGTAGAGCAGTATGGAGGTCCCAGTCCCAGGGCCTATTTTCCACATTCATGTTGGTGGGTCAGAGTGTACTTGGGAAGCTGTGTTAAACTGTTACCTAAGTGAGGTGCCTGGGCCACCTGAGGAGTACTGTAGCTTTCACTCGCAGGCAGCTGCAGGCTGCGCATTGATGTCCTCCTGCCTCGTGCCGAATGCATCTCATCAAAGCCTTTGATTACTACACCCTGCCCAGAGAAAGACGGACGGACGGACCGACAGACAGACAGACAGTTGGATAGCACCCCACCGGAGCTATTATATGACTCCTTTGGCTTCAAAGTCCAAAACTTCAAGACAAATTACGCTGGTACATTTGCATGTGGCAGGCCCAACCGGCAGCCTGGCTGGGGCCGTGGGAGGTGAAGAAGGAGCTCAGCACGCAGGTGATGGCCGTGCTGGTGCAGGTGAAAAGGCGCAAGATGACTTGCTGAACAACGTGAGAAACTCAGTGGTGACGCTTGCCAGTCAGGGTAGGCCACATGATCCAACATACATTCTGTCCTAATGATAACTTGAATGCTTCCTGCTTGGAAAGATTGCCGCTATATGCCCCCTACATTGAAGACTCATCCCTTTTTAAAAGAATCGACCAGTGGTTGTCCAATTGTATAACTATATATATAGGGGGGACTATGACCTTTCTCGTGTAGGCAGTTCCTCAGGGCACAACGCACAGAAGAGAGAGAGGGTCAAAAAGGACGCACAGACTCGACTGACGTGAACACCTTTTGCAAAATTGTATGAGTTCTTTGGAACAAGACACGTGCTTTTGGATACTACTAGGGTGTGGGCCATCGCGCTGCTAGGGTGGAGGCCATCGCTACTAGGTTGGAGGCCATTGCTATGAGGCTTCACTTTATTGGCGTTACTCCAACGCTGTGGTTTTTCTTTGAGCATGCTCCAAGGCCTTGGGTGGTTCAATGGCTGGCAGCTTGGCACTGGGCGCCATGAAGTCCATGGGAGGACTGGTTCGGATGCGATTTGTTGTTGGGCAGCTCAAAGCTTTTGCGTTTCCAACCGGCAGCAGGTGATTTTGTTTGTAATGGTATACTGGTGCATGCTTCTGACATTTTCTGACTCTGTATCGGGGATGATCTGAATCAGTCGGTTCAGTTTAGAGTTTGTTTTTGCAATCCCACATTGGCGATGTGGCCAGGAGGGCTACTGCAACCTAAGTCTGGAGCGGCCGCAGGCGGATCTGGCACCGCTGCGAAAGCCAGCGAAGAAGGCACCACTCAAGCAGAACTTGGAGCACAGCTGACAGGAGAAGGCCAGACGGAGAGTATGTAGAAAGGCTCATGGTTTATGATGCTTTGAGTTTCAACAGTTTTTGCCAGGGGCTAGCTGATGTGAGTGTCCTGTGTGTGTTTGAATGGAAATGGAATTCAGAAAGATGTCTCGGTAAAGTTCATGTTTTGGCTCGTGGTTGAAGGCGAAGATGTGCCCACGGTAGCAGATGTGGCACAGCAAGAGGAAATGGACCAGCAAGAAGCAGAGGAAGGTGAAGGTCCTCGGTGGGAACACCGAGAAGTGACGGTTGCGAAAGATTGGACTTGGGATTGTTTGGACTATAATATTTAATTTGTGAAACTGGGAGTAATGCATGGTACTCAGGCATCAAGAACAAAGGGTGGCATCATTCTGCGTCCTGTTTGACACCGTGTTTGCCTGAACATTCATTCATCAAATTTGTTTCTGCAAGATAGACTGCAGTTCCAGACTCGGAATCTATCATTTTATTGTGTCATCTGTTGGCTAGTTCTTTCCTTGGCAGAGTTTGGTTTCTAAGTTTCTACCATGTATTTTTGCTGGCTGAGAGGTCCACCGGAGGGTGATATAGCCGAGAAGATGGGGAAGGCCAGCGCTGATGGAGTGTAGAAATCGATACTGTGAAGTTTCATGAAACCCGTCATGTACCAGCAGCCAGGCACCAGATGTGAACGTGGCAGACTTGTGCCTAGCTTGCGTGGAGGGAAGACAGCAATGTCATGATGTCAAAACATGTCAACGTGTGCCTTGCGCAAGCTAAGCAATGCGGGGTGCTTTGGATGGCAGCAATCGGTAGCATGTGCACCTGAGTTGGAGGTACAAGTATTATGCCAATCGGTTGGCCCGACGAGCTCGCCAAGCTGCCATTTTGGCAGACAACGCTGTGCAGGAGATCCATGGAGATCACGTCACGGTGGTGGCATAGTCTGAAAGAAATGCACCTCAACAGGATCCAACAGGAATAATAACTGGCGTTGTACTGGGAGGACATATCATATCAGACTGAGTCTGAGTGCGCTCAGTGGTTGTTCGGGAAATATATGGAAATATTACATCTTTGTCGTTTATTAGATATGATGCCTTTGAATGGAATTGAAATCAGACGACGAGCAAAGCTTTGCAGGAAGCATGGAAGCAGCAGCAACTCGCCCGCTTTTGGAGCCGGCAAGCACTGGAGGACGAGGCAGCGACGATGCGCCTTCTACCTGCGCCCAAGGCGGGAGCAGCTTATATTGGAGCTGTCAAGCTATCAGAAAGGAAGGAAGGAAGGAAGAATGAGCAGGCCGAAAAGCCAAAAAGACACAAACAATTGACATCAGATGATTGCTCTATTTTGTTTTCTTGCCTCCCCTATGTGGACATTATATATATATATTATGAAGTCGTATCATCCGGTGAATATACAACATTATACAACCCATGTAAGCTGTGACAGCAGAATAGACCGCTCAGCTTGGAAGTTCGTTCGTGCTCCGTTGCATCCAGGGCAGCGCCGAGCGGGACACGTCACTCGGCAGAGCTCGGTCGTTGGGTGGTGTATGAGTGGCGATTGTTTGCCGGGCAGGCTTGGCTGTACTTGTAGTCAACATGCTTAATCAAGAAAAGTCCAAACCACCAACCGAGAAGCATCAGAGTTGTCGTTTGGTTGAGCCATCTCTTTTGATGGGGTTCTACAACTGGGGCAGCCACGGGGAGCTGGTGCAAATGAAAGTGCAACTCTAATAGTCTAATAGCGCCCGATAGTCTACCTTTGCTTTGGAGTTGTTTTGTGGGCGGATGCTTTGCAATGCAACTCTTGGCGACCGAATGATCATGAATGACCAGGTGGCAGCTCCATGTTCCTCCTGGTTGGGAGTTGCCTCCCAGCCCGTTGGTGTCAACCCGTGATCCTCGGACCGTGACCATATATTCGGGCGCCATCTCAGAGACGACACTTGGCCTGCAATAGAGACGTTTCATCATAAATTTCAAGGAGTTTCAGTAAAGTACAGTAGGTAATTCTGTGAGCGCGAGACTAATGTAGATCATGGACACTGAGATTATACATATCATTTGTGGAACTATGTATATATATATATTATATATGTGTGTGTTATTATTGATTGAGATAAGCTACCACACATTTGCATTTGCTTGGCTTTTGTTTCCAATCGATTACTATTTCAGGCTGGCAGGGCTCGCTTTTCTGGCCCCAAGTCATCGACCGGCACGAGCAGCACCATTCCTGTGCCCTGTGCGTTGCCACCCAAGCCACTAAGCAGCTATCAAATGAGGCCACAAGCCGTCACAAGCCTGTGGACAATCGAATCCACATTGAAGAGTAATTACGGTCCGTTATGGTCATGATTTACGAGATGCATGGCCCTATGGTTATAGAGACTGACGTTTGTAGTGGCAGCCTGGCAGGTTGTTTTATATCCACGAATGTTGCGGTGTTTTTGGCGGTGACCATGAGTGGACAATGCCAGCAAAGAAAACCATCCCAAAGTTTTGGTTGGTTGATGACTGGTTAGCTTCTCACCATCAAGTACCGGCCCTTGCAGACTTGCGGGAAGAGCGAAGATTGAAAAGCTGCAAAGTGCGCTTGAGCAGCTTCAAATTGCGTGCTTAGCTCACTTTGGCTGATGCTGCTACCAGCGCGCTTTGAAGGATAGAGTCCTGGAGGGTGACACACATAGACACATCGTACATAAGCATAAATATAAGCTTTATGTGTATGTCATGTACTTATGCTGCCATGGTTTGAGTGTCTTTTGCATTGGGCTCACAAACATCACATGGTGACACGACGGGCCTTTTTGAAGCAAACCATACGCTGTAATACACTGACTCAAAAAAATGTTCAGGGCATTCCGTTTAGCATAGTTGATTCCCTCAGCTTCCATGTGTCAGCTTCCAGGCTCAGAGATGTCATCCCCAACCAGGTCCACTGGATCGCAGGTGTCATCCACCGGATGCAAAAAACAAACTTGCACAAGGGGCCGCAAGAGGATTCAGCATTTTGCATACACACATTTGAAAGCCAATTGGATACGTTGCATAATGTTGTTGCTGATCTGCTGCCACCTGTCCTGGTTGCACACTGCGGTCCTTTTCGCTTGCACTGTTGGGTATGTGTTCCTACAATGTAGCCGGCATCCACTAATTAGGCCACAAGGCTTCTCGACAGAAGGCGCCAGGGTCAGCCTTCCATGTGTGCGAGTTTCTCATGGCAGGTGCCTGTGCTGAATGCCGTGGAAGCTGAGGAAAACAGCTGGTCAGGGACGCATCCTGAATTTGATCTAACTCTTCATCCAGGCATATCCAGACCTGATTGAATGGTTGCTTCATTGAAGGGCCTTCACCCTAGCATTCCACTTTATCTCACTGACCCAGTGACCCGGTGAGGTCGGATCCATGCCTTCTCAACGACCGTGTGGGTATCCAGTGCTCGCTTAGTGTCACTGCAGGAATCTGTAGGACAAGGGTTGTAAGATGTTGTAAGCAAAATGCATACGCATGCAGACACGTCGATACAGTACCTGACTTGGCACAGAGGCAGCAAGACTGTCATCGGCAAACAAAGGATGCAAATGTTATCAAGTTTTTATGAAGACAGTTTTCAAAGGGGTTGCACCCTAAATTGAGCCATAAGGATAGGCTGCCGGCTTCATGGTTTAGCATCTCGAGCTGCCAGATTTGTCTACGACTATCGTCAACTTGGCTGAAGAGTTTCGGCGTGTGAGTTTCGGCCACCATGAGCTGGGAGCTTGGCCAGTGTGCAGCAACCTGCCCGCGTCAAGAAGCAATATCAAACGATCCTGATCCATCCTGATCCTAACAACAGTTTGTTGGCGTTTTTGGTAAATATATTGCACTGTCGGAACGAAGAGTCGAGGGCATCATCACCAAGCACTATCAATTGCAAAAGAGAAGCCAGGAGCGCAGCGATTTTGCAGAACTAACTATATAATGTGTTTGGAGTTTTTGCATATACGCCGGAGCTTCATTAGCAGCAGTGGAGTGGAGGCCTGCAGTTCCGCGACAACAGGCAGGTACTGTGCTGCTCATGTCAAGGTTCTTTCACGCAATGCTTTCTGAGACTGGCAGATCGGGATTTGCCAGACCATCAAGTGTTTTGCAACGTGTACGTTCCTCACTGCCATTCGAGTGCTGCTCAAATTTGTCCTATATTGTGTCGTGTCCCGGCGGTTTCTTCTCTCCACCGTGCAGGAAGAACCCAAGGCCGTCGGATGCTCAGAGGCTCACAGACCGAGAGATAGCTGGGTCAGCATCGGCACATCAGTCCTACCACCGATCCACTGAGCATATTTTGGGAGATCAATGGATATCATGAAGTGCTTGCGATGGCCTCCAGCCTCCACCCTACTAGCGATGGCCTCCAACCTAGTGGCAATCTTATTCCTGTAGATGTAAGAATTTGAGGAGTTGGGTAGTGCTCCAGTAAAGCAGATGAGTGCTGCCTTGGAAGACTGCCTCGAGAATTTTTTCTCCAAATGCTACAGGCTAGGTATGGCTAGGTAATGTAGGGTAACGTGACAAGTTCCCTGCGCTCGAGGTCAATTCAGAGCCAGGGTCAAACCAATGCAGGGCCTCTCAGTTGACAAGCCTGGTTGACTGGGCGAGGAGTTTGTCGTTGCAACACTTGCACGCATGCATTTGCAATATTGTGATGTTTAGTGATGAAGACTCAGCGAAGACCTGTGAGAACCACCCCAGACTCCGGAGTCACCTTTTGCATTGCATGACAATGTGCGTGTACAGCGTGGACTCTTGTCGTCTCTTCATTCGCCAGGTGATTCTGCGGAGGGCTCAAAAGCGGCGCCGCATTCTCAAGTACTTCCAAAGGGTGAATTAACAATTACCCAGATGGGAACTGGTTGAGCAACTGCTTGTGCGCTTGGTGTCGCCATATTAACAGGGTACAATATGCACGGGCCAGAGTTGAGGTCCCTCCGGACCAGTTCGCCATTCTTGGGTGAGCCAGTTGCGCGAAAGGACAAGGCGATGATGTTCATGGTGATTGCGTCCCATGAACTTAAACTAGTCACTTGAGGCTTGGTTTGGTTCAGAATTTGATTGGTGAACTAACTAAGAAGAAGCAAAAAAAGTGCACCAACCTATCCAGTTTCCCAGAATGTGAGGATGACAAGGAAAAGATAAGTCAGAGCGGAGATGGGCAGATCCTTGAACTGACCTGTTCATTGCAGCTACGGCTGATGTAGGATGCTCCGCTCCGCGTGCAGTCATGGCCCTTCTGGGGACCCAGCCATGGCGGCCATGGAGCTCCTGTGCCAAACGCCTTCGTTTCGCCATGCTCGCAACGCTCGTGCTGGGATCGATGACCATGGTCAAACGTCATGGAACTCGTCCTTGCCTTGTGGCGGAGATGTCCAAGGACAAGCTGAACACAGATCGACACCCATGAAGCACGTCCAAATAGTTTCAACTGATTCACTTGGCTTTATCAAGTGCGAAGAGATGACTCATCATCCTGCCAAAGCTTCAACTAGGATTCTTTCCGTATATATATATATACCCGCGGACCGAAAGTTAGAATGCCGGCTTGGGGCGTCTGGGGGAAGATTTTCGGCCCTGGGGACCGGCTGATTTTGACATTCACACACGGCAAAATAACGTCGGACCGGCAGAATCACACAAAAAGCCCACTAATATCACAAAACTGCACAGATAGAATGCGGTGCTCACATATGCTGAACATGTTTAGCAGTTCAACAGTGGAACCTTTATGTTGTTCTTAGTTAGGCCAACATTGTTTTGACACTGAAGAAGTGGCAGTAAAGGAACATCAGATTTTGGCTAGCAACACACGCTGTATTCCCCGCGTCACCCGCTGGCCGCTGATTGAATGGTGAATGCCTGTTTGGCTTCAATGGGATAGGTGTGTGCAAGGCTGGTATGTGTATCATTTGGATCATGTGGGTTTACCATTTGTCTCATTGAGCATATCACATGTCCATGAGTCCATGACATGCCCAATGCGCGCACTGCCTGGTTCCTTTGTTGACAGATTTGCCAGCTTCGCGCCAGTGACCGCAATGGAGAGATTGAATAGTGAATTGCTCGCCCGAGGCTACTTGGGCTCCAAATGACTGACTGTTCCTTTCCTTTTGTTTTTATTCTAGCCAAACCTCCTGCATTCTAACTGCAAATAGCCTGCTCATTTGCGATGGACCAACAGGTCCTGGACACCATATGTTTTATTCTAGCCAAACCTCCTGCATTCTAACTGCAAATAGCCTCCTCATTTGCGATGAACCAACAGGTCCTGGACACCATACAGAACCACCATTGCCACCTCCTGCTCAACCTCCTGGATCGCCAGACCAGAGCGAACAAGAGGAAGAGGTTGAGGTCAGCACATCAGCGGCTTCATTGAGTTTGCCGCCAGGCGTGAAGGAAAACAAGAAGGAGTTCCTAAGCAGCTTACAATCATGTTTATACCTTTGTTTTGGTGGGAGGGGAGGTGGGTGCTCCTACAAAAAGGATTTTCCTGCTTTGCTTCTTTGGCCAACTGGTTGGCCATCCAAGAAAACCAAGGTTTGCTGTTGCTTTGGGCTCAGCGACACGCAAATTCGCCTTCAGCGCCTGTGGGGGACAAGCAGCAGCGAGAGCCGCTGCGATCAAATACCATGAGAAGGTTTCTGCCGTCCTCTTCCACTATGATATCAAACGTGGAAAGGACTGGGGGCGTGCAAATATGGCTTGTTTAAGGTCACTTCAAGTTATAGGTGTGATAGGCACCGGGACCCTGTTCAGGAACGCGATGCATGGCTGAAGGACTGTGGCATTCCTACACTCAAGGGCAGAACTGTCGAGAACAAGCGCTCGTTTCTGGCAGAGCTGTGTGCCAGGTCAGAGCTTCGTCAGAGACTCAGATGTCTATTGTGGCATCGCATTCTAACTTTCTTAGACAATGCATATACAGTGTATGATCATAATGTTTATATAACGTTTGCGTCTACGGTTGAAAGCCCATTGCAGCGACTCCTGTTTTTTCTCACGTTCATAAATGTGCTTTTAGCGCTCTATTTTTGGTGATTCCTTAAACTGTTCATTTTTCTGAACGGGACTTAAAATACCCGATTTCACCCAATCTTCATTGAGTTTCATTTAAGCAGCCATAAAACACATATGTGTCCAATAGAACCCTGAAACTTTCAATCCTTCCTTGAAAACCCCCTACAGAGTCTGCCTAGATTTCCCTGGTCGCATTCTAACTTTGTGGAGCATAGCTGTTTTCAGTCATGCTTCTTGGGCAGGATCTGTGGAAGAAGAGGTGGCCTCAGTTTCATCACCATCTCCACGTGGGAAAATCATGATTTCTGGGGAGCTTCAAGGCAAATGGTCTTTCGACGCCAGCTTTGATAGTGGTGATGAGACCATCACCAAGTCGTTCTCCTCATTGGCGCTTTCCGTGGGGTGGATTGTGCAAATGGAGACGTCACGCAGGGGTGGTCAGCTCAAGCAGGGGCTGAAAATTATGCAGAAGAAGAACCCAGGGGGTCAGGTTGTTGAGCTGTGAGCAGCAGAACTTTGTCGTTTTTCCAAAGCCTTCTCCAATATTGAATTCCTTATTATGCATTTTCCTTTAATATCCACCACAGCAACAACAACAACACATAGGCCCATAGCCGCTTTTGGCAGCATTCTATCTCTAAATCCTGAGGCTGGCGTAGTGGCTGAGCGTGATCTACGCTACCTTGGCGAGGATCGCATTGAACACTTGGCTGCTGATCCATGTGGACACGATTTGAAAAGCTCGCAGGATGTGACAAGCACAATCTTGATTCCCAAACGTGAGAAGTCACTCGGACCTTGTCTTGATAGTGCCACAGTTGCATTGCAAAAGGCGGCAGTGGCTGGTTTTCAGTGCTGGAATGCCCGCAACCCTGGGATAGTGGGGCTGCTTGTTGGCGTAAAGCAAAAGCAGGGTGGGCGCACGGCTTGTACCACGGTTGTTGTTGGGAAGCAGTGGAAAGAACTGCTTCAGGATCCCCAAGTTGCAAGCCTTTGTGAGCAAGAAAGTGCCTACTTGTGTGGTGTGATGCTTGGCGCTTCTTCCACTCAAGATGACACGAATCGTGCGTGTGGCCACGAACACCTCAGAGATTTGTGGAACTTGGGCCACTTGAAAGCTATTTGTGTCTTTGTAGCCTGGCCAAATTCTGGAACTGATTGTCGATGTGCATGGTGGCACCTCCTTATATAAAGGGTCAGAAAATACATAATTCATATACTGTATATGCCTGTGTGCACCTGGCATTCTAACTGTCAAACTTGTTCAGAGACAGCCTAGGTTCCCTGGTCTGATGATTTGAAGCATGTCTCCTGTGTGCAGCGGACCTTGGATGATCAAGACAGCCTGATGGCAGTTCAACCTTCCTGGACCACAGCAAAGGGACAACGTGTCGGGAACATCGTCTGGGTGGAGCACTTATTTCAATCAAACAGGCAGCGTATCTATAAGGCTGTGGCTCAGAGGCTTGTCCAAAAAACCTCGGAGTTGATTGATGTGAAGACCCCAGAAAAGCCAGTGCGGTTCTTCATTATCCACGTTCCTGGTGATGGACGGTGTGGATGGAGGTCACTATTGGCTGCCAGCGATCCAGAAAGCTTTCTGAGGGTACCGAGGACCCCTGTTTGCAGCTGTTACATAGCTTGTGTTTCTGTGAAGCTATAGTGTTTCCTAAAAGGATAAGGAACCCACACATTCTAACTGCTGAGCCCTGGAAGGAACAATGCCCATTTCCCGTTGAACCCGCTCCAGAACGAGAGTGAAATCCGCCAATCCAAAGAGCTTTGCGCCGCCGTCTGCCACCCGCCAGATAGCACAATAACAGTCTATTTAGCTGTTTTATACATTTGATGTTCGACGCGTACGTATGTATATATAGATAGATAGCTATATATATATTTATTAATAGAGACTGGGCCTTTGTATGGGCAGTTTCTTTCTGAATCACCACAGGCGATTGGACGTGGGACAACCTACCATCCTGCCGGGAAAGCGTGCAACGAGTCCGATCTGATCCTTCCTTCCTTGTCAATGACTTGTGTTGGATCAGCCGTGCCCTTGGCATCACTGTGCGGTGCACTATGTCACAGCCTGTGTATGACATCGTCAGCCCCTGTCAGCCTGGCATAGAGAAGGACGCGCTTTATGGTGACCCATCCCAACCAGTATCAGCTCACCTGTGGTTTGATTGGGTAGAAGATGTTTCTGGAACACGAATGTTTGGTCATTTTGACCTGCTCCAACCCACATCAGACCCAAGCACAAGCGCTTGCGCTATGGAACTACCAAAAGATGCTCCTTTGACAAATTTGCCCACGATTTCTTGCCATGTGTTGCTTTCCTTTGGGATTGTTCTATGTATGTCATGTATCTAGTATATATCCAGTATGTGAATACATATGTGTCTCCAGTGCTGTGGCCCAGCAAGGCTGTTGTGGGAACAGCTCCTTGCAGCATGGATCTGATGGTTGAAGCTCAAGATCCAGCGTTGGCCCTAGAGAGCCTGAAGAACCATCTGAAGTAAGATTGCCGCACGTCGGTTTTGCAAACCTCCGCCAAAATATTTATGTGTATATACATGTGTATTCAGGGTTCTGTTGAACAGAGAGAGGCCAGGTATCAGAAGATAGAATGCCGCACCCCATAGGTTCTGAGGCCAGGTATGCAGGGCATGGTGGTTCATCTCTTCCAAAAGCTGACATTGAGGTCAAGCATTCACTCAGCCCGGACGTGGACGGAACAATGGCCATCATGCCTGCCAACAACCCCTCCAAGCGGAGAAAAACATGCCGAGCACCTAAGCAGCAGAGAACACCTCAAAAGCAATTGCTACTTCTAGAATTTTTCCCGTGGCTTCGAGGAATCTACCAACAACCCGAGGCCCGAGACTTGAAGGCATCCCCAGCCGACCAGGACCTCAACCCTTTCGAAACAGCGCCAGATGCAAACCAGTCCAAAATCACAGACTTCTGGTCACGCTCAGCCATTCCTCCCAAACCGCGGACATTGCAAGAACCACGAAAGAACCAGTTGCTACGCACCCAAGCACCCTTGAGCCAGTTCTTCTCCAAAGCCAGCAAGCCCATTGGGGCAACACCTCACAATGATGTTGCTCTTGATTCCATGCAGGCCAGGGTGTTTTTCCACTCATGATTTCATATTGGTATAACATATATAGACACATTTATGTAATATGTGGCCAGGTGGAGAGTGGGCAAGCTCCAGCACAGCCCCAGACTTTGCCACAGGTAGGGCTTCCACTTTTTTTGCAGATAGAATGCCCGCTGCGCAGCGAGTTGATTGATGTGTGCTCCTGTTTTTTTGGGCGCAAGCTGTTTTTGCTTTCCTGGTCCGCTGAG